GTCACCGTTTTTAGAAGAGCCAACCAGCCGATGCCACGTGTCCCAGCAGAGGGTTAAGTCAGTGAGCTGTTGAGAAACACATCATTTTGTATCATATCCTTGGCTTTTAGAGAGAGAGGCTCTAGGAAGAAGAAGGAGGAGTTCTTAGAAAGGGAATAGATTTCCAAGCTTGATCTTCACACCTTGAGCCATTAGATTCGTGTCTTGAGGTTAGAATCCTGATCTAATCTTGTTATTCTTATTGTTCATCTAGCTGCATTGCATGATCGAGCACGATTTGTAAGCCATGCATTGATTTAAAGTTTGGTTTTAGAAAGAAAAAGTGATATTCATGTGTTCTTGAATAAAAGCCTTGTTTGATCTGAAAGCTTGCATCAAGATTCACATTTTTGTGTTTGTCTTCATAAGATCTTCAAGTATGGATACCCAGGTCCATGTTTTCGAACTCATGGCATGAAATCCCAGATTTCGTAATAACAATTTATGATTGAGCATTCATGTTTTTCATGTTCTTCATGTTCATGTTCTTCATGTTCTTCAGCAGAGGGAAACCCAGATTTCCCTGACTTCATTTCCTTGAATGTGGCCATCGGGACCACACCTTGGCAAGGAGGTGTGGGACCTCGGCCAAGACCTGGTTGGTGCCCATTATGTTTTCCCGAGATGAGAAACAGTGTTTTGTTTTGGTCCGACTTAGTTTTGAAGGAATGTCGAGATCATTTGCATTCATGTAAAGCTTGTTTGAGAGTGCATTCAATAGACTTTGCCATGTGTTTGTAGGACTTGGACTCTTGCTTTGACCCCGACGTTTGAAGAACTAAGTGAGTGGTATTTTTAATAAAGTTATGTTATGACATTTGATAAAGCTTTGCCTTGCTTGTTTTGGAAAAGTAGTTGTTAAACATGAATGACTATCCCTATTTTGTGTATCAAGTATTAGCTTTGGTTTTGATAACATTCTTGACAAGTCCGTACGTGCTAAGGGACTATAAGCATTTGTAGCACAAGTCCGTACATGCTAAGGAACTATAAGCATTTGTAGCACAAGTCCGTACGTGCTAAGGGACTATAAGCATTTGTAGCGCAAGTTTGTACATGCTAAAGGACTATAAGCATTTATAGCACAAGTCCGTACGTGCTAGGGGACTATAAGCATTTGTAGCACAAGTCCGTACGTGCTAGGGGACTCTAAACTTTTGTAGCACCTTTGATTATGTCACCCCTTGTATTATATTAATGCTAGTAAGCATCCCTTGAAGACTTGAAAGACTTGATTGATAGATTTGGTTCATCCATTGATTTTGTATTGTATGCTATGTATTGTTTAGAAAAGAGATCTTGAATATCATTCATGCAAAACCTTTATTGATTATATCATTCACTGAGTATCCAAGCTCACCCTCTCTCTCTATATATATATATATATATATATGTAGGTGATGAGCAAGACGGCGGTGACGCCTAGATGCGTTTCTCATGATGTTTACTTTTGATAGCATCTTGAAGACTATGCTTGTTTGTTGGCTTGTGACTCATTGTATTTTGCATATGTCGGCTTGAGAAGCCTTTTGATCAAGATGTATTATGTACTTATTCATTTGTATTCAAGTTGTAAGATCTCGATATGATGTATGTCATTTCATTTGATTTATGCACAGCTCTTATGGACTAATTAGAATTAAATTATTGCTTCCGCACATGTAAGCCCCATATGTATACTCTGTTTGTGTGTGAATCTTTGTAAGTTGGCCTTTGGTAATCTCGGATTACTGGCCATCATGGCACTATTCTACTAGGGGCGGAATGGGGTCGTGACAGATTGGTATCAGAGCACAAATTCCTTATAGTACGTTATTCACACACTTTGAATCCTAAAGGGCATAGGATTTCCCTTAGAATGATATTAGGATTTGCATCATATTGCTTGCTACTAGACAAGGTGTGCATCATCTCGGCATAACTGTTTGTTATTTGCATACATGTTATTCGTTCATTTTGTTTTAAAGTCATATTTTGCATACTCCTAACATCATGAGAAGGGGTAGACCTTCAGTTGGCCGAGATCATTCTGAAGACAGATTAGATAGACTAGAAAGATTGGTTGAAGGTTTGGTCCGCGAGTTGAGACAGCCTAGGCCACAGGATGCTAGTACTACCTCTACCCAGGCCGAACAGACAAACGGCCGACATGCAGCTCCGCCTCCGCCTCCACCTCCTCTAGTGCCACAAGTGCCTCCACAGCAAGCCTTATATGGGAACGGCACCATAGCCTTGATCAGAGAGTTCAAAAAGGTGAAACTACCGAGGTTCCAAGGAGGTATAGAGCCGATGAAGGCCGAAGCATGGGTTTTGGAAATGGAGAATTTATTCGAGATTTTTCCCAGCACCGACGCTCAGAATGTGTCATTAGCAGCATTCACGTTGGACGACGACGCACGAAGATGGTGGATGATGGTCCGAGAAGGCAACCCAAGTTTGACTTGGGCTAGATTTTTGGAGTTGTTCTACAACAAGCATTTCCCCCTTAGTGTCCGAGACCGCAAGACCACGGAGTTCCAGACTTTGACACAAGGCAACAAGACAGTGGCGGAATATGACCGTGCTTTTATCGAGTTGGCAAGATATGCGCCCCATATGGTCGATGACGAATATAGAAAAGCTAGGAAGTTTGAAAGTGGGTTACGTGGACCGATACAGGACCGGGTGAACATGCTCAACATGCCGACTTACGCCGGAGTGTTAGACAAGGCCATCCTAGCAGAAGCTAACCTGAACCGATACCAGAGTTCAGGAGAGAACCAGAAGAAGAGACAGAATTACGACAATCACCGAGAAGCATTTGATGCCAGGAAGAAGACGAACATAGGCAGTTCAAGCAACTCAAGACAAGAAGGTAGCACTAGGCCGACATGTTCAAGTTGCAGTAAGCCACATTCTGGGGTTTGTCGTTGGGCATCTGGAGCTTGTTTTGAATGTGGTGAGGTAGGTCACCGAGTGAAAGACTGTCCGAAGGCAAAGGCTAATGATAGTAAGAAGAATGGAAACACCTGGGGCCCGGCGCAGAAAGGCAACGTCGGGAAAGGACAGATGAGGCAGGGCAGAGTTTTTGCTCTAGTGCCAGGAGACACCCAGAGCGCCGAGACAGTAGTGTCAGGTATACTTCCCATTTGCTCTCAAGATGCATATACATTGATTGATTCGGGTTCTACTCATTCATTTGTATCTACTAAGTTTGCCGAGAAGTTGAATAGGGAATTAGAACCCCTTGATTATGTGTTATCTGTGTCTACTCCGTCTAGAAGAACTATGACCGTTGCCTCCATTTATAGAACATGTGTTGTTATGATTGAGAATGTTGAATTATTAGTTAATTTGATGCCGTTGGACATTACTCATTTTGACGTTATATTGGGGATGGATTGGTTAGCAGCGAATCATGCATCCATAAATTGTGTTTCCAAATGTGTCACGTTGAAACCCCCGAACCAAGCCGAGGTTACATTTCGGGGAAAAGGGGTAGTATCTCCACCTTACTTGATCTCATCCATGAGAGCTTATAAATTGATCAAAAAAGGGTGTCAAGGTTATCTATGTAGTCTACTGAGTGATTTGAATGGAAGCGTTGAGTTAGCCGGCATCCCGATTATTAGAGAGTTCCCCGACGTCTTTCCAAGTGATTTGCCTGGTCACCTGGTCGATAGGGAAATAAAATTTACGGTTGACTGTCGGGAACCCAGCCTATCTCTAAAACACCCTATAGAATGGCCCCAGTCGAGCTTAAGGAGTTGAAACTGCAATTACAAGAGTTGTTAGATAAGGGCTTTATTAGGCCGAGTACCTCACCTTGGGGAACACCAGTTTTATTTGTGAAGAAAAAGGATGGTACATTTCGCCTTTGTATTGACTACCGAGAACTGAACAAGGTAACCATTAAGAACAAGTACCCATTGCCGAGGATCGATGATTTTCTTGATCAACTACAGGAAGCACGAGTCTTTTCTAAGATCGATCTCAGATCGGGCTACCATCAGTTGAAGGTTAAAGCCGAAGATGCTGAGAAGACTGCTTTTCGGACAAGATATGGCCATTACGATTTTTTGGTAATGCCTTTTGGAGTGACTAATGCTCCTACAGCATTCATAGACTTGATGAACAGAGTCTTTAAACCTCACTTAGATGAATTTGTGGTTGTCTTCATCGACGATATATTGATCTATTCCAGGAGTGAAGTTGAGCATGAGAAGCGTCTGAGACTTGCCCTGCAGATTTTGAGGGATAGGAAGTTGTATGCCAAGCTTAACAAGTGTGAGTTTTGGCTTTCCAGCATTTCATTTTTGAGGCATGTGATTAATGAAGAAGGTATTTTAGTTGATCCTAGCAAGGTTGAAGCCATTGTAAATTGGCCGAGGCCGACTAATGTGTCCGAGGTTCGTAGTTTTCTGGGTTTGGCCGGTTATTACAGAAAGTTTGTGAAGGATTTTTCAAAGATCGTAATACCTTTGACACAACAAACTCAGAAAGGAGTGGCGTATGAATGGACCAAGGATAGGGAATCAGCCTTCTAGGAACTAAAGACGAGGTTAGTTACAGCACCAGTTCTTGTACTGCCGACGGGTAATGAGGAACTCTAGATTTATAGTGATGCTTCTTATAAGGGATTGGGATGTGTGTTAATGCAATGGGGTAAAGTCATAGCATATGCATCTCGTCAATTGAAACCTCATGAGAAGAACTATCCCACCCATGATCTAGAATTAGCAGCCGTAGTATTTGCTTTGAAGATTTGGCGTCATTACTTATATGGAGCTTCTTGCCAAGTTTTCACAGATCACAAGAGTTTGAAATACTTGTTCACGCAGAAAGAACTGAAAATGAGGCAGAGAAGATGGCTTGAGTTATTGAAGGACTACGACATGCAGATCCAGTATCATCCAGGTAAAGCAAACTCAGTGGCCGACGCGTTGAGTAGGAAGTTAGTGGGGGATTCAGCTTATTTGTCAATGATTTCAGTGGAGCCGACTATCATTGAGGAAGTGAAGACCAGACAGATGGAAGACAGAGTCCTCAGAAAGGTGATTGATGAGATTGTCACTAAGCCAAGATCAGGGTATACCATTGAGAATCAGGTACTCAAGTTTGAAGGAAGATTGTGCGTAGCCGACGTCCCAGAGTTGAAAAAGAAGATTTTGCAGGAAGCTCATGGTTCCAAATTTTTCGTTCATCCAGTAAACACGAAGATGTACCAAGATGTGAAGCAGACTTTTTGGTGGCCAAATATAGCTGAGTTTGTATCTCAGTGCCTATATTGTCAACAAGTGAAAGCAGAGCACCAGAGGCCAGCAGGACTTCTTCAACCTTTGTCGATTCTCGAATGGAAATGGGAGCACATCTCCATGGATTTTGTGGTTGGTTTGCCAAGGACATTGAAGGGTGTGGATTCAATTTGGGTTGTAGTCGATAGATTAACTAAGTCAGCACACTTTTTGCATGTTAAGACTTCATTTAATGCCGATCGACTTGCTTCATTGTACATGAACGAGATTGTTAGACTTCACGGAGTGCCGATGTCCATTGTTTCAGACCGAGATCCGAAGTTCATTTCCAAATTTTGGCAGAGTCTACTAGGAGCTTTGGGAACCGAATTGAGGTTTAGCACAGCTTTTCACCCCCAGACCGATGGGCAAACAGAGAGGACAATTCAGACGCTTGAAGATATGCTCAAACTATGTGTGTTGGACTTCAAGGGAAGTTGGGAAGTGTATCTGCCATTGGTAGAATTTGCTTACAACAACAGTTATCAAGCTAGCACTGGCATGGCGCCGTATGAAGCTCTGTATGGAAGGAAGTGCAGATCGCCGATATGCTGGACCGAAGTAGGAGACAAAGCTTTAATCGGTCTCGAACTGATTCAAGTAACAACTGAGAAAATTAAACTTATCCGACAAAGAATTAGGACTGCTCAGAGTCGACAAAAGAGTTACGCCGACCAGAGGAGAAGAGAGTTAGAATTTGAAGTTGGGGATCATGTATTCTTGAAAATTTCGCCGACGAAGGGAGTTTCAAGGTTTGGGAAGAAAGATAAGTTAGCACCTCGTTATATTGGACCGTTTGAAATCCTTGAAAGAGTTAACTCAGTTGCTTACAGACTTGCCCTACCGCCAGAACTAAGTCAAGTCCACAATGTGTTTCACATTTCGATGGTGAGAAGGCATATTCGGGATCCATTGCATGTGATTGATCATTCCGGGATTAGGGTTAATGAAGACTTAGGCTACGAGGAGAAGCCAATAAGAATTATTGATAGACAAGTGAAACAATTAAGGAACAAGTCGATACCGATGGTAAAAATCGAATGGAATGAGCATTACGGCAAGGATGCTACATGGGAGATGGAAGAAGAGATGAAAGTCCGATATCCGGAATTGTTTTCGGATCAAGGTAAGTCAAGTTTGGGGACCAAACTTCTTTAAGGGGGGTAGGATATGACAACCCTCACTTCATCTTAGTCATGCTCTCATGCATTCATATGATTTCGTCTTGTTAAGCTTGCATTTCAAATCTTGTCTTTGCTTTGCTAAGTGTTACTGCATGCTTTGTTCCTTGCTTGGTGTGAGTTTTGCCAAGGTCATCCTAAGCCTGGGTCGCACCTTTGAATCTTTTATACCAAGGACTATCTTGGAATCTTTTGGTTAACCTCCACTCGCACCTTGGCATATCGGCCGAGATGTCACTATCTAGGCCGAGGTGTTCATCACCAAGGCCGAGGTGTATATTATCTAGGCCGAGATGTTACCCTTGCACCTAGTGATCTTGTTCCTGGATTGGTATGACCTAGACTGAGGTATAGCACAAGCCGAGGTGTGGCACAGTTAAGTCAAGTGTTGTCCTTCCTAGCCGAGATCATTGAGACCTTACTTGCCGAAGCCTTGTCCTTAGCCAAGATCATTACCTGCCGAAGTGCCTATGCCATCTTGCTTGTTGAACACACTTTGTCATAGTCTTGTCTTTTCACTCAGTCACCTTTTTTAGAAGAGCCAACCAGCCGATGCCACGTGTCCCAGCAGAGGGTTAAGTCAGTGAGCTGTTGAGAAACACATCATTTTGTATCATATCCTTGGCTTTTAGAGAGAGAGGCTCTAGGAAGAAGAAGGAGGAGTTCTTAGAAAGGGAATATATTTCCAAGCTTGATCTTCACACTTGAGCCGTTAGATTCGTGTCTTGAGGTTAGAATCCTGATCTACTCTTGTTGTTCTTATTGTTCATCTAGCTGCATTGCATGATCGAGCACGATTTGTAAGCCATGCATTGATTTAAATTTTGGTTTTAGAAAGAGAAAGTGATATTCATGTGTTCTTGAATAAAAGCCTTGTTTGATCTGAAAGCTTGCATCAAGATTCACGTTTTTGTGTTTGTCTTCATAAGATCTTCAAGTATGGATACCCAGGTCCATGTTTTCGAACTCATGGCATGAAATCCCAAATTTCGTAATAACAAGCTGTGATTGAGCATTCATGTTTTTCATGTTCTTCATGTTCTTCATGTTCATGTTCTTCATGCTCTTCAGTAAAGGGAAACCCAGATTTTCCCGACTTCATTTCCTTGAATGTGGCCATCGGGACCACACCTCGGCAAGGAGGTGTGGGACCTCGACCAAGACCTGGTTGGTGCCCATTATGTTTTCCCGAGATAAGAAACAATGTCTTGTTTTGGTCTAACTTAGTTTTGAAGGAATACCGAGATCATTTGCATTCATGTAAAGTTTGTTTGAGAGTGCATTCAATAGACTTTGCCATGTGTTTGTAGGACTTGGACTCTTGCTTTGACCCCGACGTTTGAAGAACTAAGTGAGTGGTATTTTTAATAAAGTTATGTTATGACATTTGATAAAGTTTTGCCTTGCTTGTTTTGGAAAAGTATTTGTTAAGCATGAATGACTATCCCTATTTTGTGTGTCAAGTATTAGCTTTGGTTTTGATAACATTCTTGACAAGTCCGTACGTGCTAAGGGATTATAAGCATTTGTAGCACAAGTCCGTACGTGCTAAGGGACTATAAGCATTTGTAGCACAAGTCCGTACGTGCTAAAGGACTATAAGCATTTGTAGCGCAAGTCCGTACGTGCTAGGAGACTCTAAACTTTTATAGCACCTTTGATTATGTCATCCCTTGTATTATATTGATGCTAGTAAGCATCCCTTGAAGACTTGAAAGACTTGATTGATGGACTTGGTTCATCCCTTGATTTTGTATTGTATGCTATGTATTGTTTAGAAAAGAGATCTTGAATATCATTCATGCAAAACCTTTATTGATTATATCATTCACTGAGTATCCAAGTTCACCCTCTATATATATATATATATATATGTAGGTGATGAGCAGGACGGCGGTGATGCCTAGATGCGTTTCGCATGATGTTTTGGATTCATACTTTTGATAGCATCTTGAAGACTATGCTTCTTGGCTTGTGACTCATTGTATTTTGCATATGTCAGCTTGAGAAGCCTTTTGATCAAGATGTATTATGTACTTATTCATTTGTATTCAAGTTGTAAGACCTCGATATGATGTATGTCATTTCATTTGATTTATGCACAGCTCTTATGGACTAATTAGAATTAAATTATTGCTTCCGTACATGTAAGCCCCATATGTATACTCTGTTTTTGTGTGAATCTTTGCAAGTTGGCCTTTGGTAATCTCGGATTACTGGCCATCATGGCACCATTCTACTAGGGGCGGAATGGGGTCGTGACAAACAAGAACACTATCTCTCGTACCACCATTACTGAATTGGAGCAAAGCTTCCTTGTATGAATGTTATAGGCAGCAAAACTGAACTGGAACAAAACTGGGGTCATCTCCCAGGATGTCCTCTAGGATGTCCCCTAGGATGTCCCATGAAAAGAAGAAAAATGCTGAACTTTTGCTTAACCGGTCGACTACCCGGTTGTCCGGCCGGTCAACCACCTGGCTCCTATGTTGTTGTTGTTTTGTTGTTGCTCTGGTGCTGTCTTTGGTCTTATTTTATATCTGTTTTAAATTGAAAAAAGATGAAAGAATAAAAAATAATATTTTAATGAAATAGAATTTTAAAATAGAGAGTTTGATTAAGTGTGTATATAAAAAAGAGGCTAGGTAAAATACAAAAGTGAATCTTAGATTATAATTTGACTCAAAATTTGCTGAGACTGATGCGAATGCTCTTAGTGAATTTGTTAACAGGCTCGCAACAGTTAGAGAGGGAGGGAAAGTGGAGAGATGGACTGACAGGAGAAAGATGGGACAAGATATTATATATTGCACTTTTTTCTTCTTTTTCACTTTATTTTTTTAATATAATATATATTTATATATCTTAGATCATTTTCAATCGTGTATCAAATTTATCATTAAATTTAAATTTGATAAAAAAAAATGGCTCTTTTTTCAACTTTAACAATTTCATCAAATCGGTATCAAATTCAAGATTTTTCTTCTTTTTTTTTTTTATCAAACTGAGGATCAATATGTCTTTCATGAAATTATTGTTTATTGTCATTGGATTTTTGCCACCAGATGTCCCTCGGATGACCACCTCAAAGCAAAAGTTTGTAAAAAAATTATATTGGCCGGTCGTCCACCAAGTCGTCCTCCCGGTCGACTCTTCGAATGACCACCTCAAGAAGAAAAAATATGAAAATTTTGCACTGGTCAGCTGACGAACTAGACATCTGCCCGGTCGATCGGCGACTTAACGAAGCCGCAAAACCCTCCATTGGAACATTTGATATCAAAAAGAGTTTTCTCTCAAATTTTTACTTAAATTTGATTTAAAAAAAAAAATTTAATACATCATTAGAGATACCCTTATATAATACATAATTTAACACACATCTAATTATATTATTGGAGCACATCATCAATCTCTAAACTAATAAATATCATCAATGTCTAAACTAATAAACACTTGGCGCAAATAAATGAATCTCACTTATATAACTTTTTATCATATAACACACCTTTTAACATATTTTTAATTACACCAGTAGAAATGCTCTTCTAAAAGAACATTTTATTCACTTGGTCAACCATTAGTCTCATTAAATAACTAAATTTGAGTATCGAATTTTGAATACGAGGAGTAATGATTCATTCCCTTTTCTCCCCACCCCTTTGACCCCCTCTCTCTCTCATTGGTTACCTTTTCTTTTTCTTTTTCTTTTTTTTTCCTGCTTCTCCAATCACCCCTGCCACGTGGCAAAGGGGGGTGAGGGGGTGACCTCCAAAAGGGGTCCCAAGCATTATTCTTTTTGTAAAACTCGTAAAATGCAATTAGAAGTCATACAGTGATCTATGTCATCATGCTAATGGCCATAGCATGCGCGCTAGGGCTGCCCTTGCACCATTCACAACCAGATTCACAACCTATCAAAACAAGCAAATGCTTCAATCTTTTGTGCCTTCGTGTGGGATATGAGTTAATTTTTTAATTTTTTAATTTTTGGATCATTTTAACTTGAGTCTAAAAAGCCTCGTCTGACATAAATTTTTTGACTTTTTTAATTTTTATGAAAAAAAAATAAAATAATTATGATTTAAACGTAACATGTTATCTTATTAAATTAAAAAATTTATTTTATCTCTTTGTAACTATTTTAACGAAAAAAAACCCCATTTAACTTACGTCAAACAAGGGCAATATGTGCTCAAAGAGTAATGATTCATCCCCCTTTTCCCCCCACCCCTTTTGACCCCCTCTCTCTCTCATTGGTTACCTTTTCTTTTTCTTTTTCTTTTTTTTCCTGCTCCACCAATCACCTCCTGCCACGTGGCAAAAGGGGGTGAGGGGGTGACCCCCAAAAGGGGGTCCCAAGCATTATTCTGTGCTCAAAATAGCTTGCTACAGTTGATTTGGTAACGTTAACAAAAAAAAGTTTTACAATTCCGTGTTTACACCAATTTTTGCAAAAACACTGAAAAAAAAAATAAACAAAAATATTGAAAATTCCAAACGAATTATCAAATATTCTACTACATACTTAGGTGTGTGTAACTCCTGTCGATCCTATGTAAAGTAAATCTCACACTCATATAAACATTTGATAAAATATTTAGGGCAAATTACACTAAGCCTCCGTTTGAAAAGTGAGTTGGCTTTTTAACTTTTTTGGCTATTTTAGCTTGGGCTAAAAAGCTTGGTTTGAGAAAGATTTTTTGGCTTTTGACTTTTTTTGTGAGAAAAGAGTATAATGATTATGGATTGGATGTGATGTTTTATTTGTTGTGACTAAAATAGCCTATTTTGTCTTTTGTTGTTAAAATAGCCCCAAACCTCCTTGCTAAACGGAGCCTAATAGTTCCTATAGTTTGGAACTCGTGTCACTTTAGTCTCCGACTTTTCAATTGTGACACATTTAACCCTGAATTTTGAATCTTGTTTCAAATAAAAATAATTGAACATAACATTGCTTAATTTCAAGGGTAAAATTGTCAATTTGATAAAATATAAACTAATTTGACAAAAATAAATGTCGAAAAAATATTTTAAAATTTTTAAAAATTATTTCTACCCATTAAAGATAAAATTATATAAAATTGATAAAAATTAATAAAAATTACATGATTAATTTTTAAAAATTAATTTTACATGATCATCATCCAAATATATAATAAAAATTAATTTGATAAAAAATAAATAAATGTCTAAAATATTTTTCAATTTTATATAATTTTATCTTTAGTAGGTAGAAATAATTTTAAAAAATTCAAAAATAATTTTTTGACATTTATTTTTGTCAAATTAATATATATTTTATCAAAGTGACAAATTTGCCCTTAAAAAATCTAATAGTATCTTCAATTGTCTTCATTTAAAACAAAATTCAAAACTCAAGGTCAAATGTGTCACAATTGAAATGGCATGGATCAAAATGACACACTCTATACTGTAGAGCTCGTTGGTGTAATTCACCTAAATATTTAATAATTCATTTGAAATCTAACATGGTGCAAAAACAAATAATGTGTAGTACATATTTTTTTTAAATAAAAATAAAGTAATTTTTGTGAGGCGGCTGATTAGGGGTAGTCACAGAGTTGGCCCGGAGGAAACAGGAGTGAATGAAGAACACTTGCTCAAAAAACAAATGAACACATTTTCGTACTTTTTCCAAAAAAATTGAAGACTACTGCCAATTTTTTATAATAAAAACGGTTATCAACACGTATTTTCGTTTCTAGTATTAAAAAAAATTTAAAACCTTAGTGGAAACCATTTTTAATTTTGATACCAATAAAATAATCCACTTAAGCTTGTATTTGGATTTTGGATTTTGAATTTGTGAAGGGAAAAAAAACCATGGTAACTGCATATCACCTAAAATCTCTACAGAAGTGTGTAAAAACTCAGAATTGGCTTCACAAATCCAAAAACACTTGCAAAAGGCTCCAGCTCAAATACAAGGCTACATGGATAATTACCCAAAATAAATGATAAACAAATTTAACACAAGTAGAGACATCTATTACCACAAAATTATTTCAATGTCCCCTGGATATTATATACGCAGGCTTTCTAAAGAGAACAACAAACCGAAAACAAAACAAAACAAAACCATGAACAGAAAACCTAAATGTACTCTTTGTTTTTGGGTACCATTACACTCTACAACTCTATGGTAACTGCATATTTACCTATTAGACTGATGTCCCACATGTACCATGCTGTTGTCTTCACCGTGCAGCAAGGTCTGCTACATCAGATCGAGCACAGAAAGCATATTTTGCATATTTGTGCCCCTAACATGGAGAATTTTCTGAAAATCACAGTTCCCATTATCCCGGAAAGGCCCCCGTGCAAGATATACATGCCTTCATGGTCTTTGTCCACAAAAGTGTCAAAAAGTATCAGCAGCAACCTGAGCACTAGCTTGCTGCCCCAACACAAGTTTCCATATACAGATTTAAGTGTGAACAAATTGCCTTAATTAACTCTGTCACAGAGCCGAGCTCGTCCAGGATTAAGTAGCGATTCTGACATCACCCAACCCTGCAAAAAATAAACTTTCACGTTACAAATAGCTTGCAAATGCATATTGTCATTCCAAGTTTCCAAAATACAATTATACAATTAATCAAGCAATGGTAACCCAATATTTAAGTGCAAATAGTAAGCCATGTTCGATTAAAAAAATTTACGAAGGAATTGTCCATTTGCCATATACCAAATGCACAAAACATACTACGAAGTTCCCAACTCCAATGCCAAGCAGAATAAATTGAAAAGTCCTTCAGGATGTGTGGACGCAACTCAGGCAATCATCAGTATAATCTTATGTGGCTCATGTAAGCCATAAAGCAACTGAAACCATGTCATAATAATCAAAAGTTTTTAGCATTTCATGTGTCACCGCTATATTAGTTAATGAGTCCTGCTACTCATGTCTGTCAATGCAATGATAACACATCATGTTATAAACAAAATATGGTAATAAAATTTGGTCATTACTCTATTTGGTTTAGAGTTTCCAAAAACAGTTTTTGAGTTTTCAATCCGTATTTTTTTATTTTTAGTCAACTTTTTAGATATTTTAATCAATGTTTTTCACTTTTTAGATCTACTGAATCTAAATACACTTAAAAAGTATAAAATTTATGAAAAAACTTTAAAAAATTCAATAAATACTAAAAAATACAAAATTTTAATATATTTTAGTATTTTGTTGTATTTATTGAATTTTTTTAAAGATTTCTTCACAAATATTTTACTTTTTAAGTACATCTACATCAGATGCATCTAAAAAATTAAAAAATAAAAATTGACCAAAATATTTATTAAAAAAAAATTAACTAAAAGTAAAAAAAATACGGATTGAAAACTCAAAACCAAACATTACTATTAGTCATCACTTCAAAGACTGTTTAATAGAGCAAAAGAGAAAGTGAAAAAAATACAAAACAGAGTACTGACCTACCACAAAATTACCATATATGGAAATACACACCGTTAAGAAAGGGATCCAACAACTCCAACACTCTCCTTCACATGCAACTCCGTATTGCACATGGAGATACAATCATCCAAACAAGAAACAGAATGCAAACACGGATAAAAAATGCAGAGAAAGAGACTTGAATCCAAGACTTCACCCAACCTGACCTCTGAGTCCATGTTAGATCACCACTAATCCCAAAAGCTTTAAGTTGTTAGGAAAAGGGAACAAAGCATATTAAGTTCTCCAACAACCTTAACAAGAAGGATCTTCTTCTAAAGAAATTTTTTTCTCCAGTCACAATAAGGTTTAAGGAAATAGGATATAATTTGATGGCAACCTTTGAAATGGATGTTACTAATTCCGTAAAAGCAGGAAGTATGAACTGGTCTGAAGAATTGGTTCAGATGACGTACTAATCTAAATAATTCGTAATGTGCCATCTGGAGGTTGGCTTATCTAGCATACACAGATTGCTGAAGTAGAATTCAAGTAGTTTAAATACAAGTCTGTTTTTCTTATTATTCGGTGGTAAATCCTAGATCTTAAAACAGTGAACTATGCTTTAGAATTTCAAAATGGTCTAAGGACATAAAATGCTTTTATTTTTGCTCCTAAAAGCAGGATATCAAAGTAATTCTAAACTGCCAAGCAAACAATAACTATTAAAAAATTATAAATAACCATGTCAAGGCCACAACAGAACTTGCTTGCGTGCAACATTGGTCTCTTAACTCTCACTAAGTTGTGTTTAACAATTTGCCCCAACAGTTTGATGTCTTAAAAGTTCACTTCGTCATTTTTTATATTAGTATGGGATTAACATAATGTCAAAGAAACAATAATAATTTTCATCACCAATTTAGCGCTATGAAAGTTCTGTGTCCCATATTTCAGATTATGCAAACTTGATCAAAAATAGATTACTAGTATATGGCAGTAGCACAGATAAACATCTCAAAATGAACAATTATGCATCTTATCTTCATGATTTCTCTCTTTTTCTTTTTTTTCCTTTTTTTTTTTGATCAGCAACAGAAAAGATATATTTTATTAAGGCTCATGGCCAAAAAGAAGAGAGGATAAGGCATCCTCAACAAGAAAGAAGAAAGAATAAGACAACCAAAAAGAAAACCAAACCAAAAGACAAAAAGACAACAAGCAACAACTATACAAAACAAATTGACACCCAATCTGAAGCAATCAGAAAAAGAGAAATCCCTCGGAACACAGGACTCACCGAGGCCCAAAAAGACGCCAAGTATTTCTCAATTTGTTTTTTTATAATTCATAGTCAATCATAAGGAATTAAGCAAAAATAGAGGGTAGCACTCAAGATAAGATGGCAAGGCAAACGTACATGTTTTATGTAACTTATTCAATATTGTTTAAATATGAAGGAAAACCATGTTGATCCATCCTACCTGTTCTGTAGCTTTGCTCTTAAAAGGCCCATATAAAGCTGAGACGATCTTATAAGATTCAGCAATATGAGCTTCAAGATCAGCAATAGAAGGCATAAACACCGTATGATCATTTTCTCGATGCTTTCTGGGACAAGGCTGGCCCTGATTTGATGAGCGAATGATATGCAGGAGAACATGAGCCTGTAATACAAGGTAAATTCATCTTAAACACAATTATACCAAATTCCGGGCAGAATAACACAAAGAAACCAGAATCTCACATGGAAAGCAGCTTTCAAAATGTCATCAGATTTTGCTTGATCCTTGAGCAATGCATATATATTTCCCTTTGAAGGATTATATGTTACTATATATCTCTCTTTCTGTAAAAAAAAAAGAGAAAAAGAAATAAAGAAAAGAAGTTGAAATCATATGTAAGAAGACAGAAGGTATTCAGGGTAATAGAAGAGGATATGAGAGGGAATTCCCTGCTTGTGAATCATCTCCCTTAAAAAGGCATATACCTCAAAGATAGGCTCTATGGCAAGATATGAATTTGGGTCTTGGAATGCATCCTTAAATCTCGGTCCTGCCAAATAATCATAACAAACTTCAGTTTTAACTTGGGAATCAGTGAATTTAGAGGTGCATCAGGTGTTGTTATATACATGCTGCATACCAAGAACAACAGGCCTCTCTTTTGACCAGGGAAAACTGAATATTTTTTCCATCCTATTTCCCTCCTCCAGTGTTGGAACTCTCCCTGCAAAATAAATACACAACACAATTAAGCCACAGGATATCAGAAAAGGGCCTTCATTTTATGTGCATATGGGACTTGATGATTAAGTGAGAGGATCAAACAACAGAATCCCATCAGCACAGGTGAGTGGGGCACTTGTCCTAACCTGTCTTTAGGAAGGAATCTATAGCCACATTTAACCTGGCTCGATTCAGCGTACGCAACACAACAGATTTAACCTACGCAAAAACAAAAACAAAAAAATTGAACACTTGGTAGGTAAAAATGACACACTTTGTTCCATATGGCACAAAAGTATATAAAGGGAAAAAAATTATTACTAATATACAACAGACAACCTCTTGGTAGGAGCTACAAAGGTATCCACATGAAAGGAAGGCAAATGTTGTGACTAGGGAGGGATTTCTTTTTGTCATCATGATGCTCAACCCAGTTCCAAGCTTCAAAAAACAAGGGTTCAGCAACATTAGCTCTGAGTAAAGATGTTCAATGCTTAAGTATGTGCATCATGCACACTGCAAAAGACAATAAAATTCATACACAATTCTCAGCTCACTGATCCAAGAACCATCAAGTGCCAAAGTAGAAATGTTACAACATAATGCTGCAGTAGTTCAGTTTTACCTTTTATTTAACATGAAATAACATATTGCCATGAAAAGGTGTGATGCCCATCAATGTGTCATTACTCTCACAATATGTAGAAGTTCAAAAGTAGAAACTCACTTGACTCCACTAGTGTATTACTTCTTCAAAAAAATAAAAAAAATAAAAAATAAAAAAAACAGTGATATAACATTTGTGTGTGTGTGTGGCTTGTGCACCCTTGGTGATTCTTTTATAAGAAAGGCAGCATATTTGGACAATAATCTTTTGACAGGAGGAGATAAGATTTGAAGATGTCGAACAAGGCACATTGTCGTGCCTAGATTTAAAAATAAGGTATCAACACACGTTACCCCAACCCCACAACCCCCCTTCTTTGCAGGGGCTCATATTGGACTAATTGCAGAGATCACTTCTTTGGATAGTACCCTTTATGCTTGCCTCAGAGATCAAGCACTTTGAATTTGGTAGTAACAGAGTGAAGAGTAAATAGAAACTCAACTTAGCAAAAAATACTACTTATTTTTGTTTGTTTAGTCATTTGCAAGTTTTATACAAATGGAACATAAGAATTTTTTTAATGATCTCCAAAATAACAAAAGAATGACAAAATTACTCTTAATTGTGTATTTCTTTTCTTTCTTTTAATTATTTTAATTTTACTTATTTTTGATAACCAAGACTCCTTGGTGAGTTCTTCTATCTAATAAAGAGTGACCTGTGTGGTAAATGTCCAAATAACTGTCAAATGTGCATTAATATATATGTCATTTATCCTATAAACCTTAGTTAGTGGCCCCTCACATTATCAATTGTATTTGCAAGCACTTGATTATGTTTTCTTTGGAATTGAAATTCATATAAAATTCAATGGATGCAGCATGGTTACAATAGCTCATGCATTTATTTCAATCTCTTGAAAAGAATTTTGGGGTTTCGGGTATAGATAAATTAAAAGACTCAATTCAAAAGGCTTAAACATCCAGCTCATGGTATCTACACTCAACACAAATGTCACAAGGTCAATATGTCAATTGAAAGACATCAAGTCAACGAGCCACAAAATTTTCCCATTTTGCATGCTATTAATTCTATCCTGAAAACAGGAAACACAGATCAAATCCACTATTAACATTTCTATACACCAAGAATTTAAAAGGATTGGAGGATATGTGTCAAGTAAAGGAAACCACATAAAAGAGATAGGAATACAACATATATATCCTTATGTAACTAGGACATTCCTATTTTACCATTTTTCCGCGATCTCAAACAAAATAACACGTGGGGGTCCCAAACAGAGGATACCAACATCCTAACCACTATTCATAACATTTTCATGATATTGAGCAGTGACCAAAATTCATTCCCAACGTCCTCACAGCAAACACAAGCTTCTGGAAATTGCAAAAGAAGTTGGAAAATCATACCAGATCAGCAATATTGCCCACACATTCTCCCTTTGCAGTAACATCCCCAATGTTTTCTCCTTTAGCAAAGGCTTTGTAGATTGGAGTGCGAGTAGATGTTGATGTGACAGCACCCACATTCTACAAGTAATGAAATATAAATGTAAAGCTATAAAGCTAATTCAACACATTGACCACATTTATAAAATGGGATGAGAGAGAGAGAGAGAGAAGTTAAACCTTGGCTACATTGGCAACACAAGCTAAAGGCAGAAAAAGGTGTGGCACAGCTGCAGTTGCCAATTCTATCCCAGCACCTAGTTCCATTAGAAGATCACCAGAAAAGCGAAGCTGAAAGACATCATAATTTTCCACAGAAAAGTTTTGTTAGAAATAAGAACTACATCCACTGAAAATTAACTGCAAAAATAACTGTATTTGAGAGCAATTTCACCTGTTTTAGATCATAATCAAATTTCTTCCCTTGCCGAGCAAAAAGCATTTTTCCTACCCGACCAGCACCATCCTACATAAAGCATATGATGCACTTAATAAAATCAGATGTAATACCTCTTATTCACCAGATTCAAACTGCAAAGTTAGAATTATAATGCAAAATTAAGTAAAATATGACAAGGCACTACAAACTTTCAATTAAATTACCAGCACAATTGACAATTTAAACCCAAATGGATCTAAGACATGTTTTCAGAATTCACAATTTGCTAATAGAGATGATAGATCAAACATACACTAATTGTAATTACAGCCACCTTGCTTTTACTGCAATCATGCTTAGAAAGCATATTCAGACTTTTGTCCAAATAAAAGTTGCTTTGTAATATGGACCATGTAATATCTAGTAAAGATTTGAAAGAAAACAAACAAATGCCTGAGTTCTCATGGAACTCTCTAAACAGAAAAAGAATCAACTACCAATCATTTGGTTGGGTTTGTCTTTCTTTGCTTTTAATGGATTAAACAGGGAAAGCAATATAACAGCTACGTCAGTATTTTATTATTTAAAGTTAGTTCCAGTTTCGCTTTTCCTCTAAACACTCCATGCATTTGTTTTGGGTACAAAGCTCTAAACCTTACTCCCCATAGTTTACTTTAAATAGAATGCCATCCCCTATCAAAGGGAGAAAATACCCAGAAAGAAACATTTTCAACTGTATTTAGTTTAAAATTAGCCTAAAATACCTCAATTTTGAGTTCCTGATATTTCAAATAGAAAATAATAAATACATTTAAGTCCATGCAAGGATCATGAGACCTATATTTCCAAAGTAAGTGCATTTGTGTGGGTAACTACAAAACAGTGGTTACAGTGGCTTAACAGTCTGATGATTCCACATTCCTGAATGCAAGCAATTAGAACTCAGTTAAAGATAATAAAAGCGAACAAGTCTATCAAAACAATATAAGTATAGAGACAGTATAATAGTCTTACAGAACAAGTGTTACTATCTAATGCAACTAATAGTACACCCAAGGAGAGATGCAAAATCCCATTTCAGGTATCAAAAGCTACAAGAATTATCTCTAAATATGAATCAGTTATCCAAAATAAAGAAGGTAGCTCATGTTGACTATATAAACATCAGCATACCTTGAGAATCCAATTGATGGCTACAGCACCTGGAGTAGCTCTGTTTTTGGAGACTCCAACTGAACCCAAAAGCGTTTGTGTTGTGAAAACACCCATTGCTCCACCAAAAAAGTGCTATAATAAATACAGTAATCATTATTACATCATTTAACAGTAGCAAGACAACAAAGGGCCACCAATATGAATCAAACTGTCATGTTAATCCGCAATAAAATTCTCAACTGAGTAGCCATTTATTCCCTTGTAAACAACAACCCAAGTTTAATATCTCCATAGAAGTACCTTTAAAGCCCTCCATGTCATGTATGGCACATATGATGGGATAACACTATCAGGAAAGCCTTCTGGCACAACATAAGATCTTATGAATGAAATCAATTCCTGCACCACATATTCAATTCAAAACCACCACAATTTACTTCAGGAGCCAGCACAATCAATATCATTCATTTTTTGCTCAATATGAGGAGCACAGAAATAGTCCTTCGTTTTATATACAATCAGTCTGCGATGCAAAAGCATAATCTCATATTTTATCAGCAGCTTAACAGAGTTTGGATGTACTAAAGTTGGTGCATTGTGGGACCAATCTATACCAATCTCAGTGATATGAACCATTTATCTCATATAACAAGTTGAGAAAAACATGCATAGAAAAAATTTGGTTGATCAGGCATAAGTAATGTATGACACAGGTAAAAATAATGGTGTGTGACAATCTATGTTGGATCAACTTGATTTTTTACACGGATGATTTTCTTAGTTGGTTATATAAGATAAATGATTTAGATCACCGAAGTGAGTCCAAATTAGTGTCATAATGAGTCAACTTACCATATAAAAACAATCTGATGGCGTGACAATCGATGGATCAATTTGATTTTTTGCATGAATAATTTTATCAATTAGTTGTATGAGATGAACGGTTTAGATCACCGAAATTGATCCAAGTTAATCCCATAATGGGTCAACTTCACCGTCAAGTTGAAATGTTCAACTTTAGCAAATCCAGACTCAGCATAACATCATGTTAAACATATATTAACATATTATAGTGCTTATTTAACTAGTGTGAGTTCTGTATTTGTAGCAAATTGAAAAAGTTCAATCACATTCAAATAAAACAACAAACTGAAGTATTGTGCAGAAAAAATAAAAAATATATATATAAAAATGAATAATAATTCATAAGAAAATGACCTCAACAGGGGCCTGAGGAGTCTGCAAGGTCACAGCACGAATTGATCCCTTGTTGAATTGGTTGGAGGATCCATTCTTCTCCGCGAAGTAGTTCCAGCGACGGCCATCGATCTCTTCGCAACAAATCAATCTCAAGCTCGAATCAACGAATTGTTCATCGACAAAGCCCAAGTTGGCAGCCTCGGGCCTGAATCGAGTGCTCTCGGCGGCCACAAGGGTGGCGGAGGAGGAGGAGGCGAGGTTGGCGCTGATTCGGAGGGTCTCGCGGACGAGGAGATGGGCGTCGTGAGCGTCGTGAGAGGAGGTGGAGGAGGATTGGTTGAGCTTCAATGGCGGTGCCATTGGGGATTGAAGAAAATGCAGTGATTGAGGGTTTTTATTGAAGGAGTGGAGGCGGCATTGGAATTGACGAAGGAGGGATTTTCGTTTTCATGGCTGTGTGTAATGAGGAACAAAAAGCAGGTGGCCTAACGGAGCTAATGAGGTAGAGAGAGAAACTACGAGAGAAAGGCTGGGAGCCACATGGAGTTGTAAAGAAAATTAATGGTTATTTATACAAAGACCCTTATATTATTAAAATAATATTGTTTTAACCCTCTAAATTTTAAAAATATATAAATAGATTCCTTAAATTATTAAAAACTATCATTTCGATCCCTAAATTATAAAAATATACAAATAGACCTTTTAAATTATAAAAATGTACCAATTGAATCCGCTAATATAAGGGTGTCAAAGTGAAATATATTTCAATAATTTAGGGGTCTTTTGGGAAGAGGGTAAAAACTTTTTACTCATTTTGAATCACATCACTTCTCACATTTTTTATCTACAAAAAGACAAAATAAACTAAAAAAATCAAAAAATTAATTCTTTATCAATTTCTCAAAGCACTCCTTAAGGGGTTCATTTGTATGATTTTGTGATTAAGGAGGCAAAACAATGCTTCTCAATAGTTTAGAAAGTCTATTTGTATATGTTTGTATAATTCAAGGGGTTACAGTGATATTTTTCAATAGTTAAGAGGTTCTCTATGTAAATAACTCAAAATTTATTAAACGTAACAGTAAAACATTTATGGCGGAATATCAAAAATGAGAAGTTAGAAAAAATAATTGTAAATTTATATAATAAAAAATACAAGTGATTTATGTATGTACTTTCTTTAATTTGTAAAAAAAAAAAATTATTTTCTATTTTTATGGGCAATTACAAAAAAAAAATTAATCAAGGTTTGAGCATTTTAAAAAATTAAATATTGAGTTTTAAATTTTATCAATTTAAATATTTTTAATTTTTAATTTATTTTTAATCTAAACCATTTGCTTATTTTTGTTACGTAAAATCAACGAAAAAAAAGTATTTTAATTATTAAACTCAATGTAAATATACATAAAATATCTAAAATACTTTTTTTATGGAGTTTAATGACTAAAACACTCATTTTTTCATCAATTTTAGTTAACAAAAATAGACAAATAGTTTATATTGAAAACAAATCAAAAAATTATAATTTAAATTGATAAAATTAAGACCTCATAATTTATTTTGTTACAAGAGTCAAATCCTGAATTTTATTTTATTTTTTGTAATTCCTACAAGAATTTATCTTATAAGAATTAAATTGAGATATAAAGAGTATTTCACACAAATTTATTTATAATTGGAAAATATTAACCCTTAAAATATTGTTTAACATTGAGATTGAGATTGAGATTGAGATAATATATATATATTGAAAATATGTAAAAGTGTTAAAAAAATTATTTATTGTATTCAGTACAAAATATCTCGTATTCTTTAATTTTTTTAAATTTTTTTTTGTGCCTCAGGACACTTGTTAATTAAGATCATTTATAATTTTATAAGGTTATGGTTGAATTTTGAATTTATGTATAAATTTGTGAAGGAAAAAAAATGAAAAGAAAAAATTACAAGATTTTGATGTAGAAATTGGTAGAGTGGAAAGAAAAGAGAGAAATGACAAAACAAAACAAAACTATGAAAGGACATATATAAGGAAAAAAATAAGAAGAAAAAAGTAAAAATACTTTAGTTTAGAGTTTTGTGAACAAATTCTTTTTCAAATTTAAGATTCATACATGACATAAGGAAAATTAAAAATTAAAAAATACAAACAATTCAAAATAATTATAATATCATTAAAAAAACAAGTCAAATTTGAGTATCATGTCATAAATACAACTCCACTTGCACATTCATAAATATTAGAATTATTTCTAATTATTTCTAATATTTTTCAAATCTCCTAATATTCTATGAAAAATGGTGTGTCATAAATTTTTGTTTCAAATTTTACCCTAAAAATAGGTGTAGATGTAAATTTAAAATTGCTGAGTTATAAATTGTCTCAAAAATAATTGTAGTCCATAAATATAAATTTTAAATATTTATTTAAATAATATTTTTAATATGTAATAGGGTTATTTACATAAAAATTTTGAAAAAGTATTACTTTGACTTCTTAAATTATGAAAACGTATAAATTGACTCCTTAAATCATAAAAGAGTATAAATAAACCTCTAAACTATTGACATGTTTCACTTTAATCCATTCCATTAAGGGCCCAATTTATATGTGTTTTTTATAGTTTAAGTAATCTGTCTATATGTTTTTATATATAATTTAAGAAACTAAATAGTACTTCTCAATAATTTAAGAAATCCCTCTATAATATTATTGATTTGGTGAATCCAATAAATCATAAATAGTGATCTTATAAATTGTTAAATCGTTTCTTTTTTCTTATAGACCTAAAAGTCTCATTCTACTGTAAATTACATAAATTGTCAAGTATAAGCAGGCGTGTGTTATGTGTTGAGGGACAAATACAGGTTTTCTCATAATATTAAAATTACTAAATATAACACTTTAAAAAAAACTATTTAGTATATTTTTTCTCAACGTAACACTTTAATGTAATACACCAAAAACGTAACACTACAAAATAACACATTAAAAAACTATTTATTGTACTTTTTTCAAACGTAACACTCCAATCAATATAATACAAAAACTCTTTAGTGTACTTTTCACAAACGTAATACTCTAATGTAACATACTAAAAAACTAATTAATGTACCTTCCTCAAACGTAATATTCTAAAAAAAAAACTTCTTAATACATTTGTTTCAAATATAACACTCCAATCAATGTTACACACAAATTTCTTACTGTAATTTTTTTTCAAATATAACACTTCAATATAATACTAGAAAACCGTAATAATAGAAATATTTCACACCAATCCCCCTAAAAAGAATTTTTCACGTTCGACAACTAACACTTCAGTCACCAATCCCCTTAAAAAGAATTTTTCACACCTCACATTTCTATTTACATTCCAAAAACAAATCAAAAAATTAAAAAATAAATCACAAAAAAAATAATTACTTAAATTCAAATGATATCAAATCAAATAAATATAACTTTTAAAAAAATTAATTGATTCATATAAAAAAAATTTAAAACTAAATAGATTAATAATCTCCTATATAAAATTTATAAGTAAATTTTTCAAAAAGTTATGCCCGTCATCTCCATTAGATCTATTTTTCCTTGTTTTTCTAATGTCACATGTGCGCCATTCACCGACCAGAAAAAGTGGGCTGCTATGGGCAATTTCTAAACGAAAAAAAGTTGACTCCTCTTTTATTTTTGATCCTCACCACTTTTAATATATTGGGATTGATCAATTTTTTTTTTTTTTCTCTTATCACTCACTGACATGTGTTTATGATGGTTGTGGGGGTCAAGAAAAAAAGAGATCTCTATCATTTAAAGAGGGTCTCTATCATTTTTTATTTTTAAAAGTTATTTTTTGATTTTTAATTTATTTTAGGTTATATTATTTTTCTATTTTTTAAAAAAAATGTTGAAAAAAATCAAAAAAATCAACTTAACAAAACATTTGACAAATAATTTTTTGATATATATATATTTAAATAATTATTAATTAAAAATATTTAATTACTTTTTGATATTAAAAAAAGTTGAGTGTGACCGTTGTTTCTCTTCCTTTTGATAGTTGGTCATTGCCAAGTGAACTTTTGTTTGTTTTTTTTTTTTTTTTGACTGAATAGTTACAATTCCACTACTTAAGAAATTTTTCAACTAAAATTGTAGCGACTCTGGTTTTGATCTAACATGTTAATGTTTTGAATTCGGATTTCATTGTCTTATATAGTTATTCCTGTCTTGTTTCCCCTTATTCCTCATTGAGTTTGGTTATTGATGTGTGTTGGCTACATTTAGAGAAGGTTGGTTGTTTTTTTTTTTTTAAATTTATCTTATAAGAATTAAATTGAGATATAAAGAGTATTTCACACAAATTTATTTATAATTGGAAAATATTAACCCTTAAAATATTGTTTAACATTGAGATTGAGATTGAGATTGAGATAATATATATATATTGAAAATATGTAAAAGTGTTAAAAAAATTATTTATTGTATTCAGTACAAAATATCTCGTATTCTTTATTTATTTTTTTTTATTTTTTTTGTGCCTCAGGGACACTTGTTAATTAAGATCATTTATAATTTTATAAGGTTATGGTTGAATTTTGAATTTATGTATAAATTTGTGAAGGAAAAAAAATGAAAAGAAAAAATTACAAGATTTTGATGTAGAAATTGGTCGAGTGGAAAGAAAAGAGAGAAATGACAAAACAAAACAAAACTATGAAAGGACATATATAAGGAAAAAAATAAGAAGAAAAAAGTAAAAATACTTTAGTTTAGAGTTTTGTGAACAAATTCTTTTTCAAATTTAAGATTCATACATGACATAAGGAAAATTAAAAATTAAAAAATACAAACAATTCAAAATAATTATAATATCATTAAAAAAACAAGTCAAATTTGAGTATCATGTCATAAATACAACTCCACTTGCACATTCATAAATATTAGAATTATTTCTAATTATTTCTAATATTTTTCAAATCTCCTAATATTCTATGAAAAATGGTGTGTCATAAATTTTTGTTCAAATTTTACCCTAAAAATAGGTGTAGATGTAAATTTAAAATTGCTGAGTTATAAATTGTCTCAAAAATAATTGTAGTCCATAAATATAAATTTTAAATATTTATTTAAATAATATTTTTAATATGTAATAGGGTTATTTACATAAAAATTTTGAAAAAGTATTACTTTGACTTCTTAAATTATGAAAACGTATAAATTGACTCCTTAAATCATAAAAGAGTATAAATAAACCTCTAAACTATTGACATGTTTCACTTTAATCCATTCCATTAAGGGCCCAATTTATATGTGTTTTTTATAGTTTAAGTAATCTGTCTATATGTTTTTATATATAATTTAAGAAACTAAATAGTACTTCTCAATAATTTAAGAAATCCCTCTATAATATTATTGATTTGGTGAATCCAATAAATCATAAATAGTGATCTTATAAATTGTTAAATCGTTTCTTTTTTCTTATAGACCTAAAAGTCTCATTCTACTGTA